GCTCTGTCTGGTGGTCTGCGGAGCACACACGGAGGAAAATCAAAAACACACACCTCGGAAAGTGGGTGGTACCAAGTCGTCACATGGTTGATGTGATCCACATAATAGACACGGCCGTTTGCATCAGTTCTCTGTTCCCAGCCTTCGGGTAGCTGACTAACAGGTGGAGGGTGAGGTGAGAGAGAGAGAGGAGGAGGAGAGAGATAATTCAAACCGCCACAATCGCAAACACACACTGAAGCAGATACCGCGGAAACATAAAACAGGTTGCTTTTTGGTTGGATAGCACTGGTTCCCAACCAAACAGAAATAGCACAGCGCACTGTAACACCACTACACTGATCATATCGGGTGGCGTCGGATCGACGCTGGGAAGACTTCCCACAAAAAAAGGCACACCGTCTAATAAATCCACACAATTGAGGTAATATTTCCGGGTGGGCAGTCGAAAACCAATCGAAAGCACCGAGTCCGTTGTGAACCAAGCTGAGCAATGGGAAACAAAGAAATAAGAATCTTACCAGAGGATTCTGTTTTGTGCACTGATTTTTTTTATATTTAAAGAGTCAAAACAAGATATTCGAAAAATATACGAGTAAGGTACATTGCCCACAGAAGTTCACAACCTCCTGGGATCTAGTTGCGTAACCTGCGCACACCGCTGATCAAAACAGGCAGTAAACGTATGGTACCAAATTCCTAGTTAGCTGAAACACAGTAGCTTTGAAACGAAGACTCAAACCGTAGTAAACAAGCAGGTCCGTTTCCCGGCAGGTGAGATGACACAACCGAAGCTAACCGGGCACCAACTGCTAGTGGCTTATAGATTTCGGTTTATAACGCATGCCCTGGATGCGAACAAGGCTAGGCGAGGCAGTCTGTACGCCTCCAAGCCAGCGCGGTTGGTTCTGCATCAAAGTGAGACAAAATGTGGTCAGGCATAGTGTTCTATATCAGCGACTGTCCCATTCATAAAAGATTGGGGTTTCACCTTTCCCTTCATGATGATGACGTTGATCACCCCTCCCTTCAAATCATGATCGAACTAAACATCTAACAAGAGCTCATTTTACAAGTGGCCATTTCAGGAAACACATTCCTCATTTAGAATCGCAGGCGATTCCCAAAGATGAATCTCGCTGTGATCTGTTCAAAAGAACCAAATGGCGGGGTGATAGTAGCCGCTGTGTCGAGAATACACTGGAAATCAATCAATAAAATCAATGGATAAACGCAGAGAAAGCAACAAGTTATGGTTGCAATTGAGGACAGTGTGCGTGTCCGTTAGATGTGCCCGACGGAATTGATCAGATGTACTGCCACCGGTATTCTGTACCCTGGGATGCCAATGTGACTAAACGGCAAAGGATGCTCTTTCCTTCAGCCAGTGGATAATCAGATATCCTGATCAGAAGGTATGGTTGCACGGTGGGGAAGGAGACATGACGTAGGTTCGCAGTGGAACCGACAGTCCGCGCCCATTCAACAGCTAGTAAGGAAAGATGGGTAGCGATAACTTAAAAACAGCACCCAGCTGACTATATTTCGGCTAGATTTCTTTCTCGTCAGATACTGGAGGGACGAATCTTCACGTTAACATGAGAAAGAGTCCAACAACGTACCCGTTCAACTAGATAGATATCGACGTTGATGCCCCCAGAACACCGTACAACTTACAAAGAAGGACGATCCCATTGCGTTCGCCGGTTGACATGATCCACGTAGTAAGTGCGTCCATTTTGGTCCACTCGTTCGTCCCAACCAGGAGGTAATGGATCGGCCACCAGCTCCACCGAAGAGGTATCTTCCAACGAAAGAGCACTGGAAGCACCCAAGATGGAATCCCGTCCAGCGTCACTGCCCCGACCACCGCCAAAGGCGGGAGGGGATTCAGCGAGGTCGGAACCGGCAACATCCGGCAGATTCGGTTGCACTTGTTCCAAACTGGGACGAGGTTGTGAGGATGAGAGGAGATCGGGGGTTGTGGGCGAATTTGGTTCAACGGGCAATCGCGGCTATTGATTGAATGAAGAAAGATTAAAGTCAAATCAGTGTAATCTACCGCGAAATAAAAAAATAGTGGAGGAGAATACATTCAAAAAGATGTCCCGAAATGACAAAAGACACGATGAGGTCTGTATTCAAAGCAATACAACATAGGTTCGTGAATGTCCTCACTACCCACAGCGCTCGCACATTGTGTGTCCACTGGTGGTAGATCCATTTCACTGATCCAGGGGAAGCAACAATCAATGAGATGAAACGGTACATGTCACGTGAAAACAAATTCAGGTACAGTACTACCTTTGGAAACAAACACTCACAGGTGGCAATTCCTGTATTGTCGTGATGCGTGGGTTTATGTGATCGGGAAGATAGACAAGATACAAGTGTAGATTTCCACGGACACGTGATCTGGAACTGAAACGGGGGCAAGAAGCAGTAAAAGGAAAACAAATCAATGGCATAAAGTCGAATTAACGCAACAGTTGAGTAAACAAAACTATTTTGGGGACTGGGAGCCTTGCGGATGGAGAAGGCTTCACTTGAGACTGTATTTATTCCATGTGATACACAATCGCCCTGACTTCTTACTTCCAAAATACTCCACGAAAGGTCAGATTTCAAACGTTTCGTATGCTGCAAAATCACTCGCAGACAACGAGACTAGCTCACCATATTGCCGATGTTGCGCTATATTCGATATTCAATATCATGAAGGTAGTAGAGGTACAAATAACAGACAGTAGGAACTGAAATGCTCACCTAAGAGCATTCACGAAGACGAATCCTAATATATCCGTGGAAAATTTTAAAAAGTTTGGTAAGGCAGTGCGAGCGTAGTGTTAGATTAATATTTCCACTTCGAAAGCGCAACTTTATTTCTGTTCTATAGTACATTTTTGGACCAATCAGTACTATTGTCCAAAAGAGACATTTTCGGTAGGGTGTTACACTGATAAAAACCATATGTACATGACGTTATGTCAAAGCAACGAGACGATATGTCACCATACGTTAACACCTGATTTCAAGTCCACAGTCACGGGCGTAAAAATTTGCAGTATATGGCAAGACAAACATCAACATGGGCAAACACGGATAGTACAGGTATAGTACAAGCGGTGGTGGTCGTTACATTAAAGCATTCTGCGTCAAATGTTATGAAGAGAGTAAACTGTGGAAAAATGGCGACTTGAAGATTTCCGGTGCGCCGGGAATTTCGTCCCCATTACGGGTCCGAGATGATTTCTGCTATATCTTTTCCTATGGGCACCTCAAAAGAATTTCATAAAGGTAGTGCGTTTGTGGAGCAGAGCGGACAAAATTTTCGGCGATGTATTCTACACCTCTATGTGAGGTAGCGTCTGTACCGGAATTCGGTTTACATGAGTCGTTGCGTAGATCGTCGGCTGGTAGGAACCTGAAAAAGAGAGGGTGAAGCGATAGGGTGTTCCGAATTTACTGCAACTCAAGTGGAAATGGCCGCTTGTTTTCAAAGGTTGGTGTAGCAGACCCGTAGAATCCTGAAACCGGGATCTGTAAATGGCATTGAATCGCAAACAGAAATCAGTGTAAGGTCTAGTGGACGGCTATTCTCATTATATCGCCTTCGATCAAATGAAGATCTCGTTCGCTAGTTGGCTCAGAGCAAATGAACACCTGCATTGTCCATTTACCCAGTGCGATGCAATCGGTCTTCAGCATCTACGTATGGGACCTTCAGTCATTCCGAACCGTGGCCGAGTAGTCGCACTTCAGACAGAACGACGATGACTCAATTGCAGATGGTGATATGTTGTATCCCAACGCCCAAGATGGTATAAATCTCCCAACGTAGTTGTTTTCGGTTGTTGAGTTGGGAGGTATCCCACTTCTCCCAAATTGGCAGCTTAGATAGCTTGAGAATACAGAAATCGCCGCTACCAGTTGGCGGTGTGATATTCAACGAATTGTTGTCACCGTGCGTTTGGTGAAATAATACGTTGGGATCAGAAGGCTCCGAGGGAAAAAGGGTTAGCAAAGCATGGAATGTTCAACAACTGTCTAACCTCACCATACTTTCGGATGCGTTCGTGTCTACAATGAACTATTTACCTACTGTAAGGCTCATCAGGAATGTCCTCCTCGTCGTTTTCCTTAGACCTTGTTAGTCAGTGTCCCCTCCAAAGAACCTGTCAATCGAAATCACATTCAGAGAAAAACAACAGGGCTATACAGATAAAATACTGATACTGGATGACAATGCATCCCCCTGTTTCGAAGTGCCTTCAAAGAGCGGTCCTGTTTCAGGATTCCACGCACCTTTGTATCCCATTGAAAATTTCATGGGGCAACGCTTCAACTTGTATTTTGGTGTACATCAATTGAAAGATGTGCATGTGACAGATGAAGTCAATGCATGGAAGAGGATAACTCGACAGAGTGCGCCATGGACATCATAAACTAATTTCACTGAACTCAGGAGGTCATATACACGGAGCAACCGCGAACACATGCTTCAGTTATGGGTGAGACTTTGACGTTGCAATCGGATGACTTCAAACGACATGCTGAAGTATCTTATCATTACTGTCTTTGTAGCTTGGTGAACGTTAGTTGGTTGCGGCAGGCCCATATCGATGTGATTCGTAGTTTAGTGACGGGTGCTGAGAAAGCGTGTGCTTCACGAATGTTTGTCAAACAAAACCACCCCCAACTCCAAAAACTTGCTGCCGCAAAGTTTGCGGAGCAAGACGGCAACGTTACCAGAAGAAACTAAATTTGCTGGGTTACGGTTGAGCGATGTGGGGTATTCGAGCCTTCCCCTTATACGTGATCATAAAACCGACAGGACATTGCAAGTAACGAATTCGTGGTGAACATACAGCCACTTCCTAACCAGATGGTCAAAGTGAATTTTTTGTCGTAGTGCATTGAAATTGTATTCGGGTTCGCATCAGACGTGGCTGAACGTGGTTTACTTAAATACTGGTGTTTCTGAGGGATATCGGTACAAACCTCGAGCATATAGTCTATAGACAGAGCTTTCCTGCTATACGTCTTCACACGTCCGATCCTTTCTATCTTTTACTAGACAGTCAGGGTTACGAAACACTCGTTCTACCGCGGAGGAAAGATTATGTGGAGGACTGCTGAGGTGAAACAAAAAAAAGCCCCCATAGCGGTTCATACAAGGCTCAAACAGCACCTGAAAACGTCATAACTGATGCCTCCTAACCGCCTGAGTGTTGAGAGGTTGGAAGACATGGACTGGCGACATGAGCTGGCGAACATAATCGACGCCAATCCGACAGCGGTCAAGGGTGATTAAGCCAATGGTCTTCGGCATTCAGGTGAGAACCAGTGGTTCCAATTGAAAAATGACCACCAAACAAGAAGCTTTAGACGGAATTGCCGCCGTATTTCATCACCAGAAAGATTTGACCCCCTAGCGCAGCTGCACATCTCAACCCGACAAGTCAACCCACGACGAAACACTCCCAGAAAGAAGGGACCGGTATGGTGGAGAATATGGAGACAGCTGCCAAAATGAACAACAGTGATTCAAAGGGCGACAGACAAACACCACGTAAGGAGCTTCAGCATGAACGTCGATGGAAAATCGAGAGCTGGATGAAAGTCAACTGCTCAATCACCATTCAAACCTCTTCGTTAGATTATTACCTGTGAGCCCCGTGGCTTCAAGAGAAAGCGTTCAGCTGTAGCACCCTTCCGGTGCCTAGCTGCCATGCCACCCTAAGGAAGCACGAGGGCTGGGATACTGCCAGGTTGCCCAAGCCTAGACAGGGAAGTCGAGTGGCGGAGGTTGGATTCGAACCACGAACCTTCCGGTCAGTAAATTCGCGCTCTAACAACTTGGGCCATCTCGCCCCGCTTCAAGAGACGACAACTACTGTGTTCCGACAAGCTGAAGCAGTGCGCACAGAAGCTCGTCTAATTGGAGGACAACCTTTGGAGATAGAAGCCAAGTTATGCAACTCAATACACACACTTCTAAACCCATAAGCGGAAATATTCCCACCGACTAAGGTAGCACCAACAGAACCCAAACGTTCCGTAATTTCTTTCACACCTCTCTGTCCGGTCAAGGGGTGGACACCTTTCTGCTCCCGCCACTCTGAATTGGGCAAGAAAAACAGAAGTCTCTTCGGCAAACGATGGTTCACCATACGCAATGCATGGCCTAACCAACACAGCTTCTGGTGCTGGACAGTCTTCACTGGAAGTTTCCGTTGTGCAACTGGAAACCCGCGTTCTAAATGCCTCTTTACGGATTCTCCGACACTAACCTACACGAGCTACGGTCCTGAGATGACGAATGTCGAACACCTGAAGGCGTCTCAGTTCCGCTGCTTGAACAAGCCAAATCTCACAGTCGTACAACAAAACAACCCGCCTTGTAGCCTGATATACACGCCCGTTGGAACTTAGGAATATACTGCTTTGACGCCATAGGCGTCTCAAGTTAGCAAACGCGACCTGGGCCTTGCAGTTTCGCGCATTGACCTCATCTGTCCCACTACAATCAGATACAAATTCCAAGGTACGTAAAACGCTCCATAACTTCCAGTCTAAGGGGCGTGTTCAGTAACTGCATATCCACGGGCATCACCTTACACTTACTGGGTGCAAAGTGCATACCAAAGGACGGAATGACTTTGGTCAGCTCATCCAAGAACACCTGCACCTTCTTCTCCTCTTCGAGGACGAGAACGATATAATCTGCATATTCGACTGACAAGATTTTTGTCAGAGACTATTTGAACACCGAGGCTTGAAAGGTATACCAGCGTTCGTCTCATTATCTCATCGATGACGAAAGTAAGGATGGAGAGACTGGGCACCGCTGACGCACACCGCTAGCTGCTCTTGAGTCAATGTTTCACGAGCCATCATAAATTGACGAAGCACGAGTGACGCCAGCACTTTCGTTACAACTGGGGTTAAGCTGATCCCCCTGAGGCCTCCACATTCAGTGCGAGCCACTTTTGGAAAATGGGCACTTTCACCGACTTCCTCCAGTTGTCCCGGACAGCCTGCTTTTCCCAAATGTAAGAAAATAGATCAGACAAGCGCTTACTGAGGACTTCAGTTCCGTCTTCGAATATTGCGGGTGGGAGGTCACCTGGACCAGAAGCTCGGTGGCGCTTGAGGAAACACGTGCAGTCATAAACCTCCAAGGCCGTAGGGGTTTCGCGTTCACAGCTCAGGGTTCTACGTCAACTGTGGGTTCAACAGCTGGTGGCCATGAAAATTCATTTACGAAGTATTCGGCCCACCGGTCGGGGATACCTTTATTCAAGATGGTCACTCCTTTCGCTCACTGGTTTCCGGTGGCCAGTCACGCGGATGAACTGAGATAATCTTCGGGCATTACCGGCATTTTGGATCTCTTCCATTTCCTTGGCTTTCTGCGGCCATCACATTTCACGGTTGGTTCAAACGCTCACTTTCACTTGACGTCTCATAATTCGATGCGTCATGTTATGTTGAGATTGGCTGGGATACTTCTCCAAGATTTAAGCAGTGCCACTGTTCGGTCTGGCCGCCTGTCGGTCGTCTTCAACCTATGGGGTGTCACTGGGTGATCTGTCATAAGCGTAGTTTCTTTCAAACCCGTTCGAAGTAATTCAGTAGTATTGATCCAATGTTTCCGTCAAACTTGAGCAGACATCATCATCACCATCATCATTGTCAGCTGTAATAACCGCGTACTCGTCGTACAGTGGTTGTAGCTGCCGCAGTTTCGTTCACCGATGGTTTGGGGGGGGGGAAGGGTAGGTAGCTGCACGTTGCAGGCGGGAGATGATAAATTGGTGCATAAATCCAGCAGTCGGTGGGCTGTCAAGTGAGGCGATTGGGAAGGGAGTTATGTATTGAAGGCAATAGCTTGGATGAATGAGCGCCATTGAGGGCGCGACTGGGCCATGTCTGACAATGTCTATAACCATTTTTATGGATTTCCATAAATGGTATATCCACCACTGCAGGCACATATCGTCAGCCAACGCGACCTAATGGTCTCATCAGAAACTGTGAGAAGTTGGCCGGAAAATTAGGATACACTACCATATCGTCACCAGAGTAGTATTCCTAAATTTTCTTGTGTCTGAATAGTCATTTCTTTAGGTTATGAGCAGACCCTGTCTGCTATTGTTTTTCTGATTTTCAGGTGCGCTGAGAGAGCTCAAAATGAATGGCTTCTTTATCACCATGAGTGACCTTTTATGGTATTTTAGTGAGACCAAATCTTGGTTTTTATTGTACGTATTCAAATAAGCGCAATCCTCAACTTGGTGCTTTGCGCGAAACAGTCAGCTGGCTAATCTTGGATGGATAAACAGACACATAATATAGAAATGTGCACAAAATGCTGCGTCCTTTCAAGTTACATTTCCTTCTGAAACATCTCTATCGCGTGCAAGCTATATTATAGTGCAGTGCGGAGGTAAGCGAANCCTCAATCGGTTCATCCGCAAGCATAAGGCTAGGGTTCGAGCCCACCCAGTCTTGCAGTAGTCTTGCAGGTGTGAAGTGCATGCCGAACCGCGAGGCAGAATTATTTAGATTATTTAGTATTGTTTGCAATACCACGGGGTCAGATCCCAGAAGAGCTGTGTCGTTTGCGTACTAGATGTCTGTGAGCGGAGGCCCAGGGAGCACTTCGACCCCACAGGCATTAGAGGCTGGTAGTGCGTCTTCCATTATCGTATAAATGATGAAGTTGAAGAGGAAAGGTGAAAGAGGACAGCCCTGTCGGACACCACTTGGTGTGGTGAACTCAGGAGAGAGCTTCCCGTAGACCTTTACACGACCGCGGGAGTTGGTGTACAGCGCCTTAATGATATCGATGGTCGAACGTTCTCAGCTCGCAGCGGCCAGGTTTTTGCCCCATATAGCAATATGGAGCGCATAACAGCTATGTAAACTTGGACCTTGACAGATAAGCTTATGGCTACGCCACAAACGATGCAGGCGCACAAAAGCATCTCTGGTTTCCTCCATTTGAATGGAAATATTGTTTCTGACTAGACTTCCGAGAATGGGGTTATTAATGGTATCGGTGACGAAGTTGAAGAGGACAGTCTTGCCTGACACCACTTTATCTAACGAACTCAGGAAAGAAGTAAACACGGACCTCCATTCGTCCACGGGAGCTGGCACCCAGGGTTTTAGAGAGGGCCAAGAATTTATGGGGGGCACGTTTGCTCTATAAACACTGCCATAGTGTTTGACGATTGAGAGTCAAAGGCAGCTTTCAAGTCAAAAAAGAGCATCACTGCTGTAGGCGGCACTTCTGTTCAATGATATATCGAGGAAGGGATGGGATGAATGAGTTCTGCTGAAGGACGGAACCTAGCTTGGCTACCTTTCTCAATAGATTCAGTCAACCTCCGAAGGATTGGACCAGATAACACTTTCAATACTACGGCTAATAGGGTATTTTTTGTGACGATTTTCATAGTGTTCTCGTGCCTGTTTTGGAGATAGGAATGGCTGTCGATATGCTCAAGTCTGCGAGTACTTTATCTTCACACCATGCAATACCAAAACGTTTTGTAAAGTGTTCAAACTGAGATCCTCCGCCTTCTTTGATGGGAACTAGATAAAGGCGCCTGCCCTGGTGCCTTCTCACGTTGAAGGAGGGACATTTCGCACTTTACTTCGGACGAGCAATCAAGGCTTATATTATATTCGCCCGCATGCACCGCCCGGCAGGCTAGCTAAACCGTTCTTCGAAATATTAAGTTCACAATCGATAGTTTGCGAATGAGTTGCAAAGGCTTCTCCTCCACTTATCGTCCAGCCGATGGTTGTTGTCCCTTGGGCAGTTGATCGTATTAAGTGACACAGAGCACGGGGTCTGCAGTAGCAAAAGCCTTCTTCATCTCCTGACTTTAAATGCCCATCAAATGTCATCCTTTGCTCACCACTATTTGACGTTTGAGGGATTTGCGTGCATTGTTTTACCAACTGTTTAGCGGCAATGATTTCCAGCATCAGTCAGTATGACTGGTCTCTGTTATCCAGTAGTTATTTGACCGTGCTGGAGAAGCTATACACTGCTTTGAACATCACCAACATGGTTCCTTTTACACTACCATACTTCATCCACTTCCTACTTACGAGCAATGGATTGGTTTACAATGGACAATAGTGGAACTATTACATATCAGCATTGTGAGTTGTGGTAGCTCTCCGAAGATGATAGACTGGTACACCAGGGACTGAAAAAGAGCTATGGCGTGGTAGTAATCAAGCTGCCCCTGAATTATCTTGAAACGTGGGTCTCTAGTCACGTGATCCGACTGGATCCACGGTTGATTTGTATTTGGTGGCCGTCAAGTCACGTCTGTTGAAAAGTCGTGCAGGCCAGAAACAGTTGATGGTCCGCACACAACTTTAGAAGTCACTCTGCGTTGTGTAAAGAGCATAGACTCCGAATCGGCCACCCAGATATGATTCCGAGGAGCCCAGACGACCGACTTGGGCATTCATATCGCCCGCAAGGTTCACAGTGTTACCGCTTGTTCCCCGACGAATAAGCCAGAATAGCTTTCGAAAGAATCATTCTGTCAGGATTGAAGCTCGTTGAGGCATAAGGTGGCACTAGAAAAAGGCATCACTTTTTATTTCAAGAGGCGTTTGATTGAACTGGATAACCGAACGGCGCAAATAACACTGTTCACCATAAGCCCAGGAGACGACAAATGCATCTTTATATCCACCTGCAAAGTGAATGAGTGTACTGGACTTCCGTTTCAGCGACTAAACAACAATTATTCATCTAAGTGCGTGAAACCGGTCCTTCTGTACCATACCGAACCTCTTGCTACTACTCTACGAATGAAAGGGTAGGTGAGGTTGCGGACAAGTGGTCTCCCATATGCTATAAAGCTAGACAACTGAGCTGTCATCAAATAAATCAGTTCGGTAATGCCGTCAAATTAGTGGCATTCACTATGACAGCCCCACCAACTGCTGCTTAATCCACATTTGTAGCCGATAAAGTATTGCGTTACCCCAAGTTACGAAAGCTAATCTGGAACTAACTACTATGTCAAGCAATGATTACGCCCATCCACTCCCCATTTATCACAAACCGGCGCCCTCGTGGAAGTCAAAGTTACCAGGATGCTGCGACCCACTTTAAGAGTCAAGTACTCTGTCCGACATCTCCTTTGGAGGGATGAAGTGGGGGACAAGCGCACATGGCGAACAGTTATTCATCGAATTAACTAGCCCAACAACGGGAAATAAAACGGTAGAACAAAACCTGGTTTGGCAACCGTGATAAGGCTGTTCATAAACGTACCTCCGTGGATGGAGCATGAAACTCTTAGGCACAAGACGTTGCCCGGTTTCCTCTGTCCCGATCTCCAAATGAGGAAGGGAAACCGTGACAACTCCCAAGAAATCATCACGCGTCTAGTGAATAAATGTGGAGAGTTAGCAACCCAATATTACCAGGCGGTTCTCATCATAGAGCTCAAATACTAGGCGGTTCTCAAAAGGATTAACCTGAAGTTCTGAGAGTAAAGTCGTTTTACACGTACCCGAAATATCACTTCTTCATTCCAAATGGGATTCAAGGACCTTTTTATTGTTTTAGTCTGTACAGGAGGACACAGATAGTTGGTTGTCCTGTTGTTTTTGTACAAAAGTATCTTACAGTATGGGTCACTAAAGGTAAACGACTGCATAAGCGAATACTACCTGGCGCCAAATATGTCCTTTTTCATCAAGTCAAGAGCCCTGATGACGCGAACCCGAAGCAGACGCGTTTGATCGTTACACTGCCAAGTAGATGTATGAAATTTGGGCCTACTCTTTGTGGGGGTATGCCTCTGATCTCAAAATGCTGAACAATCTGTCGGGTACGGGAAGAGGTTACCCGTACCATGAATGTAACGGGTTATTTGAAAGGCGCGCCTCAACGACTCACGGATTCACAGATTCACTTACTAATACACAGGATCGAGGCTTTTGTCCAAGTTTTCCGGGTGGGTTTGTATTCTTTTCGGAGCGAGGAATCGCATATATAAAAGTCTAATAGTGCTTTGAACTGGGTGATAGAAGGAGCTTGGACGACTGTCGGAGAAAGGTTATTTCGCGCAGCTGCTATCCAAAGTGAGAAAAAAATTGCCTAATGAATGTGTGCGCTTTGAGCCTGAAAATCTTCTTAGCATGCCCCCATCGTGTGATTGCTGGTCAACTGTGAAAAGCCCGTTGCTCAAGCCTCGTTCAATTAGGGCATAAGTATGAATTAGGTCACTTCGGAGGCGATGGTACTCCCGGAGGAAGGAGGTCAAGCACCGGGGGACGGGTTTTGTAGTCCATGGATTTGAGGCGGACAACCATTTTCGCAACACCTCGCTGGACACGCTCAAAGAGGGTTACGTCTTTCGTGCCACTTGAATAGACGACTTGGTTGGCATATTCAAGGAGTGGTCTGACGCAGGCCCCATAGGGTACTTGGAAATCCAATCGAGTAATACGCGAGAAGGTGCATCGAATCATCC